TTTATGTACAGTGCCCTGAGACAACGTATGTTGGGACTTGGTGCTATATAAATAAACTGAACTTGAACTTGTTTACAGAATTAACTAAGCATGAGTGCTACTTGTTAGTGTTTATATCTAAGCCTGCCTCTGAACGAATGCTTTGGTGCAGAAGTTTATTTTTGAAAAGAAGAAATGTGCTTAAACTAAACTAGGCTGTAGAMTAAATTTTTGCCCAACTTTTTTTTCTTAGGTGCACCAGCACAAAAGTTAGGAGCTCATTAATGGAGTACATTGTATCCAAAACACATAAAATCACAGCAGCATTAAATGAGCACCTCAACTCTCCTGTTTCCACCAGAACTGTTCGTCAGGAGCTCCACAGGGTCAATATACACGGCCGGGCTGCTAAAGCCAAACCTTTGGTAACTCGTGACAAACGTTTGTTTCAATGGTGCAAGGAGCACAAATCTTGGGCTGTGGACAATGTGAAACATGTATTGTTCTCTGATGAGTCCACCTTTACTGTTTTCCCCACATCTGGGAGAGTTACAGTGTGGAAAAGCCACAAAGAACCACTCAGACTGTTGCATGTCCAGAGTGAAGCATTGGGGTGGATCAGTGATGGTTTGGGCTGCCATATCATGGCATTCCCTTGACCCAATACTTGTGCTAGATGGGCGTGTCACTACCAAGGACTACCGAACCATTCTGGAGGACCATGTTCATCCAATGGTTCAAACATTGTATCCTGAAGGCAGTGCTGTGTATCAGGATGACAATGCACCAATACAAGAAAGACTGGWGAAAGATTGGTTTGATGAACATGAAAGTAAAGTTGAACATCTCCCATGGCCTGCACAGTCACCACATCTAAATATTACTGAGACACTTTGGGTGTTTTGGAGGAGCGAGTCAGGAAACATTTTCCTCCACCAGCGTCACGTAGTGACCAGGGGCCTCATGTATAAATGGTGCGTATGCATAAAACAGTTGTGTGCGCCAGGTTCTACACCCACGTTGTGATGTATAAAAACCAACGTTGTGTGAAAGTGTGCGTATATTTACTCACACTTTTCACCTGCTGTGAGAATGTGCAGCAGACACACAAAGTTTTTCAGTCGACAGTTTTAACTCACAAAGTCATGAATCTGAGCTGAATCCACAGAAATATGACTCTGTTGTGTTTTCTGGATGTAAGGAGCGTCTGAACACAGTGTTAGATTTTTATTTTACTTTGAGTTTTTATTGTTTAAACTCAGCAGCTGTGCTTTGGGTAGATTCTCACGCCAGGTGCACACACCCTCGCCAGCTGGGAAGGTGTTCATATGTGTCAACCCCTTTGGACATTTACCGTCTAATGAGACTCAAATATCTATATTTTTTTGCTAAATATCTGTAGGCTACCACTGGTACCCGCTCGTGGGGGTGGGGTGGGGGTCCGTGGAGCTGACAGCGCTGCTGTAACGCAGGAGCAAAGGAGAGGAAAAAGTGGATAACTTGGTGCTTTTTTTTTAGCGTCCGTTCAACGCCATGTTCATCTAAATGGACAACAACTAACCAGCTTTAATATCACATTCAGGAGATGTCTGTAAATTTCAGGAAAATCTCAGACTTTGGTTATCCTGTGTGAATACACCACATAAAACAATGTCACCCCACTCCTTATTTAGACAGTTTTCTCACTCATTCTCCATTTAATTTATATTTTCCCTGCATGTAAAAATMATTTCTGATCCCACAGAGAGGAATCTGAGGAGAATCTCACACTCTGGACACATTTACGTCTATTTAACATATTCAAATGGAGGCGTGTCAGGGGAGGAGTCTCAGTTCCACGTTCATTGGGATGTAAAAAGGAAAGGTGCACAGGAACCTGCGTACGCATGGATTTACATCTGAATGTTTTAGTGCGGCGCACATTTCTAAAGTTGTCCGTACGTCAACTTTTAGTTTGAAAGCTGCGCAATCCTTTAAACATGAGGCCCCTGGCCCCAATCCTGCAAGAAGAATGGCTTCAAATCCCTCTGACCACTGTGCAGGACTTGTATATGTCATTCCCAAGACTAACTGATGGTGTATTGGAGGCCCTACACCATACTAATAAATGATTGTGGTCTAAAACCAGGTGCTTCAGTTTCATTTTCCAACCCCTGTAGTTACTCAAAAAATAGAGGCCAGTAGGCGACTGCGAGCCTTGTGCTTTAAATTCAGACGAGTCCAGGGCAGGTGAAAGTATATCATTCGATACTTTGGCATCAAGTTCTACCTTGTTTTGTTTTCTTACCTTATTTATTTTTTATTATTGTTATTACTGCATTTGTATTCTTAGTAATTATTAAGTAAGTAAGTAAAAGTTTATTTATACAGCACCTTTCACAGACATAGAGGGTCACAAAGGGCTTTACAGGGGTGCAAAAATTATACAGAAAATAAAACAAAAAACAACAACATCATAAAACAATAGCTAGGAAACAACACACTGGAATTGTTTAAAAGGCTTTATAAAAAGGAAAGTTTTAAGTTTAAGTCGACATGTTTTGAAAATAGTACAAGGAATAGGTTTATCTCATATTTAATGCATTGTACTTCATGCTAACGCAGCTGAGTTGTCTTAGAAGACCTCAGTCGTATTTCATACCGTTAGAAATGGCATTTAAAAAACTTGTGCAATTTGTGTTCACTATCAACAGCATTATAAATGACATTAACTGAGACAGCGTTAAATTTGATTGGTTGATTTAGAAACCCTGTAATAAAAGAGCTTTTGAATGTTTGTGTAATGTAATATTAAACAAATGAATCCTTGTTTAAAGAACTCAAAAGTCTTACAGTGTGAACAAGCGTGTCAGGAGTGTCCAATCCACTGAGATAAAAATGAAATTGGAAATTAAAAAAAGTGTCAGCTTTTGAACTCCGTCCAGAGTGTGTTTATGTGATGCACTTAGTGTTTGTCCAATCTGTTCATAAGTTGTTTGAGTGTGTGAAATGTGGTTTATCACAGCTACACTTTTTATCTTCATATTTCAAAGGTATGTTTTGTGCTGTGTTGTTTTTAGCTGTAAAATTTTTGTCCTAAATCCAGTATCTAATTTTCCAGCAACAGTGCCTGACAGCCTCCAAGTTTGTGGCTCATCTCATCAACCAGAATGTGGTAGGTGCTAATTTCTTACCTGTTAATGGAAAGTTCACGTTCAGCAACTATAAGTTGTGATTACTCCTCTCTGTCCGATGACTAATTTTTAGGCCCATGAAGTGTTGTGTTTGGAGATGCTCACTCTGCTGCTGGAGCGTCCAACTGATGACAGTGTGGAGGTCGCCATCTCCTTCTTAAAGGAGTGTGGACTCAAACTAACAGAGGTCTCCCCCCGAGGAATCAATGGTACACTGCAGCAACAGCCTTTCAGCCTGTATTCAACCATACATGTCAACTCTTTTGATTGTTTACCTGTAACATAACCCTTAAAATCTGTAATTTTCAGAAAGAAATCTGTTTTACTTTCCTGTGGGG